TACAAAAGAGATGTGCCTTCCCCATGTGAAAGACTTTCAAGTCTTATGTTCTAGGCCCTGTAGTGAGTTCTGGAAATTTCAGGTTCCATAAAACAAAACCCTTGTGAAGGAATTCATATTTTCTATGAGGACATTTCTAATGCTATGACTTTGACACTACAACCTAGGCAGCTGCCTCTCCGTGAGCTTAATGACAAACTAACAAATAGGGTGTAGTAAATAGTCCCAGCCCAAAGAGGATGGATGGTGACGGTAATAAAGGATATAATGGCAGCTAACATCAACCAGAAGCTTCTACGTACCAGATACTGTGTATCGTACACAGATTATCTATCTTGTGCTGACAGTCACCCTACAAGGACAGGTGCTATTAATATCTTCAATGCAGAGAGGAGGAGCCAGACACAAGGCAGCTCAAAAAAAAAACTGATCAAGTTAGGAAAGCTAGAAACTAGCAGGAGCAGGATCTAAATCCAACCAATCATATGAATCCAGAGCTTGTGCTTGTAACTATTGTCTTATTGTTTAACTCTTATTTTATACCAACTACCTACCAAAACCATTTTTTGAAAGTATATACATCAGGTGAGTAAAAAGAAGACACCCGAAAGACGCTGAGCTGTTGTCCCAACATAGGGATACAGACTAAATATGTGGCTATTGAGATTGTTTTCCTGGATAGTTACATGGAAACATATCCTTGTAAAGAGGCCTTATCTCTGATGTCCGTCTAGACAGCTGTCCTCCTATGTTAAATAACTATATCAACACATCAGTAGGAAAGAAAAGATCAGAGGTAAAGAAGAAAAAATCAGTCACAGAGACATGATTTATGACTAAAAAGGGAATGTAGATGGTGCAGGAGGATCCAGAATGTAGGGAGACTACCAATCCTCCAAGACTGAATAGAAGGTAAAATGTGGGTAGAAGGTTTGGGGGAAGGACAGACAAGAAGGGCAACTGGAGAGAGGCCAAAAGTAAAGAAACAAAATGAGGGGCT